TGAATTTAGCTCACAGAAAGCTGCAGATACACTGCGTGAAATAAAAGCAGCATCCCCTCTCCAGCCTTTCCCATTTATTCCCCGTGCACTTCAGTGTGTCCGTCCAGTTAGGGGGGTGCAGGTCCATCAGTGAAGGCGCCTAATTCACTTGATGAGACAAGGAGCATAAACATTTCCCCGGCAAATTAGAAAATGTGCGCATGTGAGCGGAAGCAGCAGCCAGTCCCAAGCTGTCGGGGCACCACTGTCAGATGTCAACAACAGCTCAGGGGCAGGAAGTGGCACTGTTTGGGGCCAAGTAGACCAACGAAGCACCTCCTCTCCCACCTCCCTCTAAACTCTGTCACATACACACCTATGCTCTGTCATCCAAACAGGTTGTTAATCCTTTATTTTCATGTCACCCAGAAACTAAACAGAATGTGAATTAATTTGCATGAATTGTGTGTACTGTATGAGCTTGTGCTTTAAATAAGGGTTTTACCCAAATCCCTAATCAGAATCAAGGGACTGTTAAGAAAAGAAAAGTGTGGTATCTCTGAAGGATCATAATGTCTCTCTCATTGCCATCTGTGAGTGTAGCCTTGCAAACCAGCAATAAAAACATTTTACTTCTGATGCGTTTGGACAACAAGCTGTATAGAGTTGTTTGTTTAAGTCATGCTCTGGGTTTAAGATCGTATTGCATAATGCTCTATACTAGACAAAACAATGGAAGACAGAAAGTCAGAGAAGTGACACAAAGTGAATGTGGCCTCAGCTTTGCCAGCAGCATCATATAATATACGAGGTATGTCAGAAAAGTCAGAAAAACTACAAACTAGGAGTTTTCTCCTTCAGACCATCAACCAGCACATCTACAAAGAGATCCTGCAGCGTTTGCTTCATTCAGTGCACGAGAAGAGGCAGAGTTGTGTCAGAACCAGTGGAGGCTGCTTCACCATGACAACCTGCTCACAACGCCCTGAGCATCCCACAGTTCCTGGATGAGAAGAACATGGCCGTGCTGGAGCAACCTCCCTACTCACCCCACCTGGCTCTCGAAGCTCAAGGGGGTCATCAAGGAGACCCGCTTAGAAGACGTGGACGACATCAAGATGGCTGTGACGACGGAGCTGCAGAGGATCCTGGAAGAATCCTTCCAGGAGTGCATGGAGGTGTGAAGAGAAGGCTGGGGAAGTGTGTTAGACTCCAGGAGGATTACTTGGAAGGAGAAAACTTGTAGTTTGTAGTTTGGATTTGAAATACATCTTTTGTGTCCCCAGTCCTGAAATTTTTCTAAACAGGAAAACCTGCAGCATACACTTCAACCCAGAGGCAGAGGGGTTCTACTTCAAGGATTCTACTGGATGCATTCTGGGACATGTAGCGCACTTTGTATTTTTAGGCTTAAGTCATACTAGGGAGTAAGATTAAGGACATGTCAGACTCTGCTGTTGTCCTTAAATCTGTCCAACATCCACATACAAAAGACAAGCTTGAACCTTGCATGTTGTAAAGTGAAGTTCCTCCTCTTCTCCTCAGCAGCACCGTTTTGCATTCCGATCATTTTATGTGCTCAGCAAAATGACTTCTGAGTGTTCTCAAAACAGACATATTTTTAAAATTTAATAACTGTGCTTTCACTGTTGTTGGTTGAAGTGATTCAGGCACCTGCAGCTTTTCATTCACGATCAGTGGTGAGGCTCTTCCCCCCCTCATGCACCGTAGGTTCAGTCCTTACCTTCTCTCTTCATTCCTGACAGATGGAAAGCAGAGCACATAGGAGGTGCCACATCATGATGAACCACACCATCTGAGCTGGCAGCACAGTAAAGTGTCCAAACAACCTTTCCCCAAACAGCCGCCCATTCATGCTCAACGTAATTGGTTGCAAATGCCTTTTAGGATGAGCCAGTAATGGCTGTAAGGAGTTTGTATACACAAGGCTCATGCGCTTTAAAGCACGATTCCACCGTGATTGGATTTTTTTGGCATTTGTTATGTTTTTCTCCCTGTAAAATGAACTCTGTCTGTTCTTACACACACATGCAGCTCAATTAAAGCTATTTGGTCATTTTCAAGTTTTTGAAGAGGACTCTGGATACCGTTTAATTTTACAGCACTGGGTGTAATGGGATGATATTAATCTTCTCGTCTAATCCCAATCATGCTGCAGTGGTCCTTGAAGTACAGACACGGGGTTCTTTTGTCAGAGATCAGACAAACAGAATTAAAATGCGCTCATGTGTGTTGGCCTGCATAATTGGCTTCCGGTAAACATGTCTGCGGTGCTTCATGGTGCAGAATATGGCATTGATTTGGCTTTTGTCATGATGATTTCTAACCATGTGAAACCTCTCGGATGAGGATCTTTTCATGTTTATTGTTCATGCCTGCTGTTGGACTCTTCAAAGTGATGATACTGAAGCCAAAATCACAACGTTAATCATGTGAAAGGAAGTGTTTGTGAATCGTGTGGGGAATTAGTCTTGTTTTTCATGTTTGTACACATGTATTGTGTGTATGTGTGCATTCGTAAATCCGTGGCTGTACTTGCGGCGTGTTTGTTGGCGTGCACATGTGTGTTGTTTGTTGTGTGTGAGATTGCATTTGCATGAGCTCTGGTGTGAGTGCCTGTGCATGCTGTGTGTTTCTATTTCCTGAGTGAGTGTGTGGATCTGCTCAGTGTCTGCTTCTGGGTTATGTCCAATGTTATGTCAGTGTGTTTGTGTATGTGTTGCCCATCATTGCTTTTTGCCACCGTCAAGCTCTCCTACTTTGTGTCATTGGCCTCCAACCATCGGTGGACCCGACAACTTGAGTCGCTGACAGTCCTCCAGAAACTCTGCACTCCAAACAAAAACAAAGCCTGCACTCATATGTCAGGCTGATACCAGTGTTAGTAGACAGTGGATAGTCATTCACTGCTCATATGTTGGTCCACAAGCTTCATATGAAAAAAACAGCAGCATCTACGTGTACACACAATACTCGTGTTTCCATATAATCTTCAAGCAAACTTTTGAAATGTCACTAAACTAAGAAAAGAAAATGTGAAATAGTCTTTGCTCCCATGATCAACTACTTTGGGGTGAATAAACTGGGCGATGCAGTGTCGTCAGGAGGTGGTGGTATCAGCTATATTGTTCATGGCTATAATAAACAGAAAAAAAGTAGTTATTGTTAACCTCTAAAAACTCTGAAGGAGAAGAATAAACATACAAAACATTGGTCATCTATGAGCAAAACATGAGACGAAATCCTCAGGAGCTGTTTTCAATCGAAAGAGTTGAAGGTGTCCTTTCATGTCAGCTGGATTTGACCATAGAATAGAATAGAGTAGAATAGAATAAAACTTCATTGATCCCTTCGGTATGAAACCTCAGGGAAATTGTTACACTAGAAAAACAACATAAAATCAGCAACAACAGTAAATATTCAACAACGACCATGTTGCTTTCTGGAGTCTAAGATAATGAAAGAAGCAGAAACAGCTCATCAGTCAATATTCAATACATCAGACCTTGTATAGAAATGGTGTTTCCTTTTCCAGAGAAGTGCATTAACTCGTTTAGGAATCGGAGACAATCTTTTATAAATGTTCCCACTTTGCTGCATGTAGCGCAGACAGTGTTCATTTGTCGTGTTTATTTCATAGTAAATATTATGTGACTCACTATTAAAGTGCTTCTAAGCCTTAATCATGAGTTCAAATGATCAGTATGTGCCATGCAAAAACATCGAGTTCTCGCATTAACAAGCTAACAGCACTAAGTTGTGTACATAAATTCTTTGGAACTTAACTACGTCTCCCAAGTTGCATTTCAGCAGCGTGTGTGTGTGTGTGTGTGTGTGTGTGTGTGTGTGTGTGTCAGTTTCAGGTGAGGTGAGGGGGTTCCTGTCAGTGACTTCATTCTTAAAATATCTTCATTTATGTCTGTTATTAAACTGTTAGACAAACTGACGGGCGGGTAGACGGACAGATCGACGGACAGAGAGGCAGATAAAGTATCAGGTGTGTAAGTGAATGCTGACAGACAGCAGTCACGCTGTGGAATGAAATGAGAGGAGGCAGACAGAGGAAGAGTTCAGGAGCCAGGAAGAGAGTGAAGGATGAGACACTGACCAGGGTGGACAGACTGTGGAATTAAATGCCACAAGCGACTTTGTATTCATCACACTGACATCCTATTTGGCACACGGAGGAGACGGAGAGAACGAGATGGTCCACAGGCTGATTCAGAGGGACGTCTGAGTGCCGGAATGGAGAATCCAGAGGACGTATACCTGCACTGTGTCATCCTCAGCACAGAGGCAGGAGGAGGAGGATGTGGGCTGGGGTCTTCCTAGCGCCATGGTGGATCTCCCACTGTTCACACGGAGGGGGAGGACTGTTTGTTTAAGTGGCTCCGCATGGCAACCACTTGCAAGCAGCTCCTGTGAAAACCTCCGCTGGCTCAGCATGGAGGTGGGGGGAGCATCTCCAGACGAATCAACACTGACGGACAATCTTCTCTCCTTCCTCAACCCCCCTCAACCGCTGCCCCCTTGCTTGAGCTCCACTCTAATACTGCAAGGGGGTGGTACGCTTAAATGATAGCAAGAATACCTTCAACATACTGTGATAATGCTGTTACCTGCCACTCATTGAGCATCTCTGACATGTCCAGACATGAGTATTGTCTGCAGTCTTGAAAATTTCGAGGACCCCTTTTTAAACCGAACAGGGGCAGGTGACAGTCAATCAGAGCTTCTCTTGGCTCCAATTGCTGATTTGATTTCCAACTAAAAGGATTGTGCTTGTTATGGATCACAGACCTGCTTGATGGAAAACAAATTGGGAACTGATTGTTAACTCCAAACATTAATAAAACGTTCCCTTTACATGCCTTTAACTTGACTTGAAGTGAGAGTGACTGCTTTAACTATGGAAACTAACTAGATGAAGTTGCAGTAACAGAGACACTCTTCTCTTTCAGACATGGACGAATGTGAGAATGACTACAATGGAGGCTGCGTCCACGAATGCATCAACATACCAGGCAACTACCGGTGCACCTGCTACGATGGATTCATGCTGGCCCATGACGGACACAACTGTCTGGGTAAGAACGGTCTTTGTATACAGTTAGGTCCATATATATGGGGATTGACACACGTTTTTTTTTTTTTTTACCTGTTTATTGAAACATATTCCAATTATAGTTATGTAGTGGACATAAAGTGCAGACTCTCAGCTTTCATTTGAGGTTACCCACAGTCACATTGGATAAAAGGTTCAGGAGTTTCAGCTCCTTAACATATGCCACCCTATTTTAAAAGGGTATTTGAACAACTGACTCAAAGTCCATTTCATGGGCAGGCGTGAGCAATTCCTTCGTTACCTCATTACCAATTAGACATATAAAAGGCCTGGAGTTGATTTGAGGTGTGGTGCATGCATTTGGAAGATCTTGCAGTGAGGACAACATGCGGTCATGGTTTGGACATGCATGGCAGCCAGTGGCACTGGGTCACTGGTGTTTAGTGATGATGTAACACAGGACAGAACCAGCCGGATGAATTCTGAAGTGTTCAGAGACATACTGTTGGCTCAAATCCAGCCAAACTGATTGGGCGGCGTTTGATAGAAGAGATGGACAATGACCCAAAACATACAGCCAAAGCAACCCAGGACTTTATTAAAACAAACAAGTCTTGAATGGTGGAGTCAGTCACCTGATCTCAACCCAACTGAGCAGCATTTCACCTGTTAAAGACTAAACTTCAGAAAGAAAGGCCCACAAACAAACAGCAACTGAAGACTGCTGCAGTAAAAACCTGGCAGAGCGTTAGAAAGGAGGAAACCCAGCGTCTGGTGATGTCCATGTGTTCAAAGGGTTTTCAACAAAGATATTAGAAATTAACATTTTATTTTCACTTATTTAATTTGTCCAGTTACTTTTGAGCCCCTGAAATGAAAATCTGTTTGTTCAACCCACTGAATTAAAGCTGAAAGTCTTCAACCACATCTGAACTGTTTCATTTAAACATCATTGTGGTACTGAACAGAACCAAAATTAGAAAAACTTTGTCCAAACATTTACGGACCAAACTGTACATTCTTCTCTTTTGTGTGTGTTCTTGTAACACGGCTCTCTCGTTCAACTGACATGAAATTGACAAACTTAAATAACCCTGGACACACAAAATAGCCCTCCTGAAGTTCTTAGTATTCACTGGCTCAGTCATTGACTTATACGTACCTTAATACGGCACAATGGGGTTTTTATCTGGCTAGGTTGATGGCTGATGGGGCACTGAGGCACTTGAAATTGAAACATGACAAATTTCTGGGTTGTCTTTACAATATCAAGCATCTTTGTTTTTAAAAGTCCTATGGGAAGCTCATTCCTTTAAATGCATAGATGTCTTTTGTAGATGTCTTTGAATGTGTGTGTCTTATGTTGTATCTTAATGTTAACCTGCTAGTGGTGTGTGGTGATGAATGTCTGGAAGTCGAGGGGCTGTGCATCCGTCTGGTTCAGTGTATCACTGTGAATATATAGATCTGTCTGTGCTTAAGAGTACGCTGAAGCGTGTGTGTGTGTGTGTGTGTGTGTGTGTGTGTGTGTGTGTCCTTGTATCTCTTAAGCCTGTCTGGCTCAGCTTGCCTCTCTCAGTGAGTCCCTCTGTCATCGTTTGGAGGGTTTCCATGATTTGTGCTGTTTTATGCTCCTTTCTGTGTTCTGTAGGGAGGGCGGTCAGGGTTGAAGAGTTCTCCTTTTGATATCTGCCTGTGTTTTATTACTGGCAGATCCAGCCCATTTAGCCTCAGTGTTGCGTTATTGACTTTGTGTCAGCCAGACTAATGTTTTTTTTTTTTTGCCCCGATGCAACACGTGGATCTGCATGGATGTGCTCAAACACATTTCATCCTGGAAGTCGTCCACCGCTGACTGATGAGAGCAAAACAAAATCAGAAACAGAAAAAATATCATTTTGGATACCGGGCTGCAAGGTTTGGGCAGTGGTTAGCACTGTTGCCTCACAGCTAGAAGGTCGCTGGTTCACGTCCCGATGAGGATCTTTCTGAGTGGAGTCTCCATGTTCTCCCCGTGCAGCGTGGGTTCTCTCCCACACAGTCCAGAAACATGTTGAGGTTAATTGGTGATTCTAAATTGTCCATAGGTGTGAATGTGAGTGTGCTTGGTTGTCTGTCTCTAAGTGTAGCCCTGTGATAGACTGGTTACCTGTCCAGGTGAACCTGCCTTCACCCTGAGTCGGCTGGGATAGACTCCAGCCCCCCACGACCCTAGTGGGGATTAAGCGTTGTATAGATAATGGATGGATGGATCTGGATACCCATGTGCCTTTGACGGGATGTGTTTTGGCATTTTTAAGTGTTGTCGTTCATTCTTTGAACCTCTGGAGAGACTGAGTGAGAGACTGAGTGCTGGTAGCAGCAGCCAGCAGTGCAGAGTAGCTGCTGAGCTGTGAATCCACATCAAGGACTGACTATCAGACCGCTGATGTGAAGCAGAGTTAAAGGCTCCCTGCCATCACAACTGAAATTTTCTTCTATGCACAAACACGCTAATGAAAGTAGAAACACTCCACTGGCCATGCTGAGGTTTTAAACCGTCCTCTTTGCTTGATGTTGAATAAGTAAACATTTTAAGCATCGGTTGCTCTGACAAAGATATTTTTTGCAAAAGTTAAACAGTCACATAAGGAGTAAAAACATTTTTACTGTCAACACTAATTGTATTGCCAAACTTTTTCTAAATGAACCAACGATTCCAGCTCCAGAGCTTCAGATGACCTTTTTGCTCCTTGTTTTATCATTTAGGTGCATTTAGATGTGTTTCTTTGTCAGTTCACAGTCGTAGTTTTTAAACATTTTGTCAGTGAATGTTCTGCTTTGTTTGATAAGGATGGTCTTACAGTTTGTCAGATGTAGTCCTCTCTTGGCTGTAATGTCGTGGCAAATGGCAAACATTTGATTATAAGCTGTGACTCTTCACTGCTTTGGTTTGTTGTAATGTTGTAGGACGGAGGGCAGCGCTGTGATGCTTCACATTTCTTCTAAGTATTGTGCTTTTTAATGTTCAGAACATCGATGGTGGAACAGTGAAAGCCCTGTTGTGATCATATTTCAGTGTTTACCACAGGTTGAAGTGGTGGGTGGTGCGTTGTAACTTATGCACATGCAGAGACTCACCAAGTTTAGTGGAAAAAAGTGCAACCCTGGTTGTTTTTGAAGCTACGTTTACAGATATCCCTTAATCGCATCAAATGTAGACTATCTATAGATGCTACAACTTACAGAAGTTCCTTCTTTTGCTCACAGATGTCGGTAGATGCTACAGTTTACCAATGTTCCCTAAATGCCTCACATGTGCTATCAGGCTGTTGGGCCTCCAGTCTTCACTTCACTCCTGCTCAGGCAGGTGTGTGACCAAATATGAGTTAGAAAAGAGTGAATTAATTTGGTCTAATTTCAGATTTGTTTCGGCTAAAATGGCCTGATTGTATCTACATAGGTGTGCAGCCCAGACACACCTACTGACAGAAATGCTAAGTTTCTGAATGAAAACATTTAATGACACATTTTTAGCTGCTTGTGTGACCAAAATGGTTGCTCTCATGAGCTCTTGTCTAGTTCTGTCTTAGCCTACAAATTTATTTTGGCCCTAAGTATCATTTTATTAAATTAAAAGAGATATCAGACCCTGAGCAAAAACACAGTTTAATCTTGGGATAAACAACGATCTTCACATCATCATCAGTATCGACTGTTAAACTGAAATGTTGGCGTCGGCCCAAACAGACAGGCTGATAATGCTTTTTATAAAGTTATGTTGAAAATGTAACGTGACATAATGATGGCATGTTTCACATCTAGATTGAAACAGTTTTCATAAATATATCTTTATTAATGTCTTATTTTATGTCTGCTTCTGCCCGTCCTGCTGCAGGAGACATAATAATGTGTTAATTATACTTCAGCAGAGACATGATGTTCTGTTGGCTTCTTTTTGTAGCTTTTGCCATCATGCACATCCATCATCGAACCATTTTGCTCACAAGCTAATTTGAAGAATGCAGACATGATGTCACTGATTGAGCAGTTTTTCAACAGCAGGAATCCAAGAGTCAGACAAGTTAAAACAAGGTTTAACCTAATTCAGATATCACTTTAAAGTTATACAACGTTGAGCTAATGCTACAGCGTCACAGATATTTTCTGTTTTAATTTGCAGAGATGACTGAGTGGATATAAATGTTTTTATTCCTTTGATAATGCAGTAAATACAAGGTTATGTCAGGGACCAGCTCAAAAACACAACTGAGGCTACATGATGTGTATAAATTAGTTATATTATGTACAGATAGCTCGTTTTCACTGTCGATGAGCTAATTTGTGAATGACATCGCTTTAAACATGATGCAAATGTGTAAAAATATGGATTTAAAGTGAAACAAACTCAATTCCAATTTCCTTATCTGATGAAATATCATTCTGGTGAATTCTGTCACCGTCTGGGTAAGTCCTGGTAAACCTTGAGAAGACACCTTGACCTGGATTTATTCTGTCTGAGGCTTTTGTACGCTGGACCTCGTACATGCTGGACTAACACTGCAGTGTGTCTCTTATGTGAACTGTAGAGAAGCAAACTGTTCTACAGCATCTGTGAGCTCTGATGCTGGCGTTAGGAGATGGATGAATTTGGGAAACGAGGGTGGCTGAGGTGGGACAAGTATGTATGAGCTGGATGATGTGGCTTCAGACAGCTGTCAATCAAAACAGAAAAACACCCCTAACATACATTTAAGGGATCGGCGCACGGTTTTTCCAGTTTTCCTGTTTTTCTCCAACAAAGCGACAGGAGTTTTTGTTCAACCAGACATCAGTTTTCATCCAAATGTCGTGCAAATTACAACTTAATTTCCAGAATATCTGCAAAACATAATGGAAATTAAAGCCTGTTTCCATCCACTATTGGTACGTAAATGTAGTTTTCTATTACCAGCTGACTTTTTCTTAGTTATGGTTCCGTTCTCATTTTATTACGTCCAGTTGAAACCGCACATATCAGCTAAGACACCCCGTTGATTTGTC